CTCTAAATACAAGAACCAAATACTAATATAAGTTGAACAGAACTAAAAAGAAAAAAAGAGAGAACTTAAAAGAAACCGCTATTTGCTTCACACCAACATTGGACAACTAAGACCCACTGTACATCCTACAAACCAAGAGTTTGTTTGGAAAATGAATATAAGCTTTATTTGCTTTGGAAATACTTGTCCTGTCCATCATGAGGGTGTCCAGTTATGGCTGTCACGGACTCACCTTTCTCCATTCTGGATACCTTAAAGATGTCAGGTTTGGGCTTGTTCTTAATGACTGAACGACTGAAACAAAATGTGTGCTGCAGTGTGCAGCACAGGTCTCCTCCGGCAGTGCGAAACTGGAAAACCGGAAGTTGGCTTCAAGAATCTTTGGGGCATCTGCAGTATGGCTAGTGCTGTGTGTCCTGAAGATGCCTAAAGTTTTTCCAGTACAAGTTTGAGTATCTTTTGATATGCTCGATATTTAGGAGCTTTGAAATGCTTGCACATAGCTTGGGGATAGAACCCAAGTATAAATTCATCTTAAAACTTTGTGTTTCATATGCACCGTACACATAGAGCCTGAGTTCATTTCTTAGGGTTTTATTGTCACACTTGCATTCAGACTGCAGCCTGTCATGTGAGCTCAGGGTGCAGCTTTCCCCCTGTGGGGTTGTGTCAGCTCTCAAGAGTTTCAGATTCAGGATTGTTTTGGATTCGCAGGTTAGGGGGCCCCTGCCTGGCACGACTCACTCAGCTGTCTTTGTGCCAAGATATTCCCTGCAGGCGTGGGTCCTCCCAGGCTGAGACACACAGGATTGCCTGTGTCCGCAGGGCGGCTCAGTTCACCCTGCAGCCTTAGAACACATTTTTGCGACTTGATATATCAAACTACAGGAGCATCTTCTATTCCAAGAAATTGGTTGCTATTCACAGGACTTGGAGGCAGCGGGCGTGCCTTCTCACATCTCCAGCCCAGCAGGATCTCATACTCCTGTGACTTCTCAGTATAGATCCATGATAGTGGCAAAAGAGGTTTTTGTGAAACTACATTATAGCAAAGATGCAAGTACAAGACTTTCATTATTAGATGTAGTTTTCTTCCTGAAAACGCTCGAGTCCAATATAAAATGTATGTCTTTTAAATGTTTCTCTATGCTTTTTAAAAGAACCACAAGAAAAGGGATGCAGAATTACGTAGAACCCCAAAGCAGAAAGCTGGGGTTCCCCCAGAATTAGGCATCTACCTGCAGGGCTCCGCCAGCTCTGTGTCTGTGCAGCACCCTGTTTGGTTTCCAGTGCCAGTGTCATAAAAAGAAGCTAAAGATGTTCACCTAAGATTTTAAAAGTTAGAAAAGCTCATCTTTCATCTCCAGGCTTCTTACATTTTTACTGCGCATATGACTCATGGGGAGATAGTGTTAAAATGCAGGTTCTGAACCTGTAGGTCTGAGCAGGACCTGGGCTTCTGTATTTATAGCAAGCTCCCACGGATCATTGCGTTGCTGGGCTGAGGGCCTGCTTTGACCGGAAAGGCACTAGATCACTGGGCAGCATTCTGAAATACGGATAGATAGAAAAATGTAGATGCTACATTTATGGACTTAAAACTCCCAAGAAGAATGTATGCAGAACAGAGATTTACCAGGCCATCCATCAGTAGTGAATCTTAAATTTGCTCATGAGTCCTCTAATAACTGCCCCTCCTGCTTTCCCTTTTGCAGTAATAGCGTTGAGACAGTGTGACGTGCTTGTGTCGGTCTCTGTCAGTTTAGCATTTATGTTATTGTGTAGAGTGCTTGGAAATTTTTGTGTTGGCTCAGGTACATCCAAGGGAAGTCCCTTGAGAGGCCACTTATGTACAACTGGAAAGAGCCCCTAGAAGCAAGATCCCATTCTCCTTTTTTCTTCGTTCCTTCTTTTCTTTCTTGTTTGTCTCTGTCTTCGTTGGTTGCTTATTTAAGTTTTCTGCCTGCGTAAACTTAACGTCTCTCCCACAGATAATCACTCAATGTACCAGGAACTTGGGGGCATACTATGGCACCCTCTGATGGTTTACTGGGAGCACTACAAGATCCAGTCCTTATCCCCACCTGTCCCTAGAGTGAGGGAAAGATGTGGGTTGTACACAGAACACACAGAAAGCCCACACACCTTGAATTACAGAGCCCTGTCTCCTTCATGCTGTGCTGACACATAAACTCCCTACTTAGCCTCTAAGTTTAAGAAGACTGTCAGCAGGCTGAGGGAAACACGATCACTCGAGTTCAGGAGTTTAGGGCCAGCCTGGGCAGCACAGGGAAACCACCCCCCTCCCTTTAAAAAAATTTTTTTTTTTTAAATTAAAAACAAGGGGCCTGGGAGATGGCTCGGTAGAATAAGCACTTGCCTGGCAAGCACAAAGGTCTCAGTTTAATCCCTGATTCTGCCAAAAATAAATAAACCTAGGAGGAAAATGGGTTAATGCCAGTTAGGACCCAGTCACATCTGTGTTGATCATTATATCCTTGACTTGTCATTGGCGATCTCTAGAAAAGGTGCTGTAGATCGGTGGCTGCGTAAGCTTCCAGAAGAATAAGTAAGAGTTTGTGTGTCAAAGCTGATAGGTCCCTTTGGTCCATCAGCAGAAATCCAGCCCAGTTAGCGATTAGGGCAGCAAAGCCAATATTTTGTCTCTCAATTAAGTAGCATAGACAAACTCCTGCGCTTTTATCAACCAACTCAGCATTCTTTTCCATATTTGCCAAAGCACCTTTTCTAGTTTGTGTATCAGGGTTTCTCCTGTAGGAGTTTTGCATTTGCATTGCTAATAGGCCTGTTGCTGAATGTGTTTGACATTTTGCTTGGCTTTGAAAGGACTTTCATGCCGCTGCTTTTTCTTCCCTAGAGCTGCCTTGAGCTAATTAACCTATTCTCTTACTGGCTGGGCCTACTGTATGCAAATGTTCTCATTTCACATTCTGAGATATCATTCTTGTGTGTACATCCCTAATGAGATCCTGGGGTGGGGGGGGGGCGGACCAGTGCTCCAGCGGAACCAGCAGGGGGCGCACGGAATGTTGAAGGAGCTCTCAGAAATGAACTTCCTCGCTGATTGGTAGTAGGATGTGGGCGCTTATCCCATACCAGTGCTTAAGAGCAACTCTTGGAATCCTAAGATAAATGGTTATAATGGTTGCTTTTCATACAGCCAGAAGGGGCTGCGGGTTGGTTTGGGGTTTTTTTGATGCTTATTCTGTCCTCATAATTAATTACTCAGTCTTGGGTGTAAATTATGTATTGTGCTCTTTATTAGAGAGGACTGTACAGATCAAGGTTGTGAAAGACTTAAAAACAAAAGTTGTAGGAGGAGAGGGTAAATAACTCCTTGGACAGAGCTATAGCTGTTCATTTCTTTGGCATTATTTCAAGTCTTTTTACTTGTTTGTATGCAGTCCTTAAGCCCCTTTTGTCAGGTGAAAAATCCTAGTTAGTGTTGAGACATCGAAGTTCTAAACCTCTGCCTTCTTGTGCTTGGTCAGAGTCATTACAGAGGTGAACTCTCTGCTGTGCCACTTGTCATTTCGCCCTATTGATGTGGAAGCTAAACTGACAAGAGCCATGAAGTCATTGCCCCAAAGAGCAGCAAGTCAGGATGGAGGGTCCTCAACCAGATGGGAGAGATTTGGGATTAGGTGGCAGAGCAAGGCACAGAGGAGAGGAGAGGACAAGGCGTGCAGGGGTGATCTCACCCTTGCTTCAGTTTAGGCAGGAGTGAAATTTGGAAGACTGCTGCCTTGTATTTGTTTCAAAATCAGAACATAGCAAGAAAAGGTCTTTGGAAAGGAAATGCCAAATCTTGAGGCCTGCGGTCCCCAGACTGCAGCCACACAGCCCTCAGGTCACAGCACTTGGCATTGTTTACCTCTGGTGCTGCTACCCACCAATAAAGGCTGCTCCCATCCACTGCTTGTCAGCCACTGATGTCCTGCTCCATGCCAGGTAGACCCTGGCTTTCCCACACAGTGGTTCACTGGTTACTCGACGACTGAGCCGTATGTCTGTAACAACAGGCTCCAGGCTCACCAGCTGCATGGCCATGTTTGAATGCACAATGCTATGTTGTCTGAAGGAGGTTCTACCTCTAGTGCCAGTGGTGAGCTAGCCCTTTAAAGGAGAGATGGAGGGGGAGGGTCAGAAGGGACAATTCAGAGACACCTGGAAAGGGGACAGAGGAGGAGATGGGTAAAGCAGGTGCAGAACTCTCATTAAGAAACTTTCAATGCATCCAGCCTGTTATTGTACTTGGTTTATTTAAAACTATATTCAAGTGCATTTTTTTTTAACCCTAAGATTTCTTTCAGCTTGCTACCACATGAATTTCTGTACTGAGTTTTTTTGTTTTTGAACATTTTTAAAAATCAAGATTTTGGTTACCTCTGCTGAGCTGGGCTGTGTGTGTATGTGCACGCACGTGCTTGCGCACACTAGGGCTTGGGGGAATGGTCATTGCAGATCCAGTTTGGATCTAGAGCCAGGTCCCCTCTTCAGAATTTCAGCATTGGCAGATGAGGACACAGAAGTATCCTATAGGAGGTGCTCAGCAGCGCCCGGCTTTGTGGCACACCCACCTGACCTTGGCTGGCATCTTCCTTTGGGTGGGCTTTTTGGACTTAACACTAGGTAAAGAAGAAGTGAGGACTGCAACCAGCATTTCTGAAAAGGGGACTCAGGAAATGCCTCCTCTGTTCTCTAAGAGAAGGGAAAAGGACGCAGAATGCTGAGGAGGTCATAGGAGCATTGTTAGCTCCTTAGTGTTTTGACTCCCCGCTTATCTCGTGCTCTTCCAACCAGCGTGGCCAGTGCACTGGAATAGGGCTGTTGGAATTCATGTCAGTTCCAGGCCTTGAGTCTTAACCTTGCCAAGGGTTTTTGGGTTTATTTTCTCTCCCTGGTGCTGATTTGTTGCTTTCCTTCCCCTCCTCCCTCTCTCCTTCCTTCTTTCCCCATCCCTTGCTCCTGTTCTCCAGAATCCAGAGCTGCTGTTGGCCAAGTGCGCCCACAGGGAGATGATTCCCCATGAAGCACCTGGATCCCCTGCTGGAACCCAATGTGACTTTCCGTTTATCAGACTAAAACCAGAGCCAGCCAGACAGTGAGACAGCCACCGTGGAGGGGGGACGGCGAAAAATGAAATCCAACCAAGAGCGCAGCAACGAATGCCTGCCGCCCAAGAAGCGCGAGATCCCCACCACCAGCCGGCCCTCCGAAGAGAAGGCCCCCACCCTGCCCAGCGACAACCACCGGGCAGAGAGCGTGGCATGGCTCCCCAGCAACCCAGGAGGCCGTGGCCACGGGGGCGGGCGGCATGGGCCAGCAGGGCCTTCGGTGGAGCTTGGTTTACAGCAGGGAATAGGTTTACACAAATCACTGTCCACGGGGCTGGACTACTCGCCGCCCAGTGCGCCACGGTCGGTCCCGGCGGCCAACACACTGCCCACGGCATACCCTCCCCCACAGTCAGGGGCCCCGGTGTCCCCCGTGCAGTACGCTCACCTGCCTCACACCTTCCAGTTCATCGGGTCCTCCCAGTACGGTGGCCCCTATGCCGGCTTCATCCCTTCACAGCTGATCTCGCCCTCAGCCAACCCAGTCACCAGTGCAGTGGCCTCCGTGGCAGGGGCCTCCACGCCATCCCAGCGCTCCCAGCTGGAGGCCTATTCCACACTGCTGGCCAACATGGGCGGCCTGAGCCAGACCCCGGGACACAAGGGTGAGCCGCCGCAGCCACCTCCGCACCTCGGCCGGGCCCCGGGGCTCATCACCCCGGGGTCCCCCCCACCTGCCCAGCAGAACCAGTACATCCACGTGTCTGGCTCTCCGCAGAGCTCCGGCCGGCCGGCCTCCCCCCCAGCCATCCCGGTCCACCTCCACCCCCACCAGACGATGATCCCGCACACGCTCACCCTGGGGCCCTCATCCCAGGTGGTCGTGCAGTACAGCGACTCCGGGGGCCACTTCGTCACACGGGAGCCCTCCAAGAAAGCCGAGAGCGGCCGGCTGCAGCAGACCAAGGAGGTGCTGAATGGGGAGATGGAGAAGAGCCGGCGATACGGGGCTCCGTCCTCGGCCGACCTGGGCCTAAGCAAAGTCGGCAGCAAGTCGATGCCTCATCCCTACGAGCCCAGGCACGTGGTGGTCCACCCGAGCCCCGCGGACTACAGTGGCCGGGAGGCCTCAGGGGTGCGGACCTCTGTGATGGTCCTGCCCAACAGCACCACGCCCACGGCTGACCTGGAAGTGCAGCAGGCCACGCACCGAGAGGCCTCGCCATCCACCCTCAACGACAAAGGCGGCCTGCACTTAGGGAAGCCGAGCCACAGGTCCTACGCACTGTCCCCCCACACGGTCATCCAGACCTCACACAGTGCTTCCGAGCCTCTTCCGGTCGGACTGCCTGCCACGGCCTTCTACGCAGGCACGCAGCCCCCTGTCATCGGCTACCTGAGCGGCCAGCAGCAAGCAATCACCTACGCCGGCAGCCTGCCCCAGCACCTGGTCATCCCGGGCACCCAGCCCCTGCTCATCCCAGTGGGCGGCACCGACATGGAGGCATCGGGGGCAGCCTCTGCCATCGTCACGTCGTCGCCCCACTTTGCTGCAGTGCCTCACACCTTTGTCACCACCGCCCTGCCCAAGACAGAGAACTTCAGCCCCGAGGCCCTGGTCACGCAGGCCGCCTACCCAGCCATGGTGCAGGCCCAGATCCATCTGCCAGTGGTGCAGTCGGTGGCCTCCCCGGCTGCGGCACCCCCCACCCTGCCGCCCTACTTCATGAAAGGCTCCATTATCCAGTTGGCCAACGGGGAGCTGAAGAAGGTGGAGGACCTGAAAACGGAGGACTTCATCCAGAGTGCAGAGATCAGCAATGACCTCAAGATCGACTCCAGCACCGTGGAGAGGATTGAAGACAGCCACAGCCTGGGCGTTGCAGTCATACAGTTCGCTGTCGGAGAACACCGAGCACAGGTAACATTGGCCATGGCCACACAGGTACGGGGCCCCCACTGTGACCCCTGGCAGGTGAGATGGCTTCTGTGAGTCAGGATTAAGGGCTCCCTTGCCCCAGGTGATTGTGCAGGACACCAGCCTCCGGGGGGCGTGGCCTTGGTCCATCCGCGGCTCTTCCCAGCTGTGTTCTCTCGGACAATCAAGCTCTGGTCCCCAACGTACAACCTTAGTCTGTAATCACTTAAGCTCAGTGTGTTCAGTGTAGGGTAGTTAGGTACTGAGAAGCGCCATTGAGAAGGACAAAGGACTTCAGGCCCACCTAGTAGTCACCAAACCAGGAAATGACACAGGGGTAAGAACGTTCGTGTCACCATGTCTGTCTCTAACATCATGCTGTAAAATACAGACTTGATTATTATCTAGATATGGAAAAGTCAGCAGATGGCTACATAGCCTCCAATGGCAAGAGGAGAAGGACCAGTTCCCCTGATACAAAATGAGGGGACCCTTGGGCTGGAGCCCATATTTCAGGCTCAATGGAAGGAGTAGGAGAGGCAGGGCCAGCAGGCATGGGGGTGGGTGGTGTGGCCACTGGGATGACTATGAGGCTCCAGGGCATCCCCTGCTCTCTGGCAGCTGACCTGAGGGAGACTGGGAAAAGGGAGTGGGCATGAGTCTGGAAATTCCATGTGGGAGGTATTGGAGTGCAGTCTGGATTGGTCTGTATGTGCAAAGGCGTGCTCCTAAGTGGGCTGCCTGGCCTCTCCAGGAATCAGTGCGGCATGGCAGAAGCCTCTGGAGAGCCAGCGCCTAACACGGCAAAGCATGAGAATACAGAAGAGGTGACTGATGGGAACTGTCTGGGCCCCAGCAGGCCTGTTGGTGAAGTCAGATACAGCCCAGCTGAACAATGCTAACAGTTGGAGCTGGGATTAACTCCCTTAGGTTTCGAGGGGCTCCTTCAACCCACTCACTCCATCTTAAATCACCTGCATGCATTTACCTCACAGTCTGCTCATGTGAACAGCAAATTACTGCGCTCCCCAAATTGATGGGATGAAAGCAAGGTTGTCCCCCAGCCTGGGACTTCTGCCAACTCTGGACATGTTCTCTGAGTGCTTCATACCAGTCAGATGTGACAGGGCCTCCTGTAGGTATCCACAGCAAACAGCCAGGGAATAAATGATATTTGGGACAGTCAAAACAAAACAAGAAAAAGCAAACCAACAACTGCTTACTTAAATTGTTCTGAGCACTTTTTTAAAATCAAGGGCACTGGGCGACCAGCTTCCCAGAATGCTTTCCAGAACTGCTCTGGGACTTTGCTCTGTCAGGGGTCTTCAGTGCTGAGAGCATTAGCCTTGTGTACTTTTTTTATGGTGAGACCTCACTCTAGGCTTAGAGACTCTGGAGAGGCCCAAGAAAGATTCTTTCAGAGTTTTGATTTTTAAAGAGGAAGCAAAACCCAGAATTTTTTGAAAATATGATGTAATTACTTAAACCACTACCCATCTCTTGGGGCTGCTTGCAAAACTAGGACAAGGACCAGGCAGGAGTGAGGGACCTTCAGCAAAATTGACTTGAAGCAGGCCCGCAGGGGGACATGGGAAAAGTAAGAATGAAGATAAATGTGCTTTTTGTGGTATTTTCAATCCTTATAATGCGATGGTGAAGAGAGAGGCTGACCATGCAAGGAGTTCTTGCTTCAGAATGCTGTGAGCACCTGAACAGCCTCTCTCAGCTTGAGAATAAATTGGACCGCTGTGGCCTCCCAGGGCAGGGACTCAGGGTGTCCCGCAGCTCTCCTGTGTTTGAGAGAGGAGCAGCGCTGGTGTTTTCCCTGCTCAGCACTGTGCCAAGTGCACACTTAGGGAACTCAACCTCCCCACGAGGTCATAGCCCTGCTTTCATTTCCTTCCCAGTGCCCAGTGATCACTGAATCTCTTAGCTTGCAGCTGAGGTACGGATGGGCAGGGAGGACGTCCATCAGAGCCTGGTAGCTGGCTGCCTAGCAGGCAGCCCCTGCACAGCTATGCTCATGTTCTTCAGCATAGAGAGGCAGGAGACCTGTGGGCTGCTAACGAGGCGGCTGGGTTTCTTCATAGAATCCCAAGTGCAGGGCACAGACACAACCAGTGATTGTCACTGTACCCAAAAGCCTATCAGAAACTGGCTGACATCATTGCAGCTAAAATACTCCACCAGCTGTGTTTGCCACAAGGGACAGCTCAGAATGAGAGCCAGGAAGAGAAGGAGGAGGGGAAGGGAGCGAGAGCTGATCCCCCGCTGAGCAGAGGTCCTGGGGCCACCAGTGTAACCCCTGACACCACCACCACTCTCCATCCCAGGACCCCTACCCATCATTGGATCACCTGGTGAGATGTAGCCGGCGCTTGCCAGGCAGCATAGGGATGTACCAGCTGTTCCATGAATTTGCACAAGCTGGGAAGCAGGGGTGGTTTTTTCCAGGACAGGGGGCATAAGTACCAAGTCACAGGGGTGTTGGAACACAGAACCACACCATGGCCACTCATAGTGGGGGCTCTGTGGCCCAATGGGGAGGGGCCGTGGCCTTGCACAGGGTGGGTAGTTTGAACTCTCCTGCTGCAGTGTCATCTGCAAGGCAAAAAGTAGTCCTTCCACAGACAGTCTGTGGGATTCCTTGGTTTTTTAATCCTGTGCTGTTTTCATCCTAGAACAGACTAAAATATGTCAGTATCCACTAACCCAAAGCAAAAGAGGGTGTTCAGGGGGCCTATAGTGACCTAAGGTCCTCCAGCACAGATGTAGTAGGGACTGAAGCCACCCCTTGGAAGCCCAAGGAGGTTCCATCTTGGTGCTTATTCTCAAAGACCTGTGTCCCTATCTGCCATTGTAGAAAGAGGCCTTCAATACCTCCACACAAGGCAGCAAAGGAGAAAAACACTGTTGGGGGCCTCTCACCATCTCTGTGACTTCAGCATCCCTGGCACAGCAATGTCTTGCACAAGCAGCTTCTAGTCCCTTCTCCTTGCTGCTGTGGGACAAGTAAAGGGGCTCTGGGTGTCATTCGCCATCACCGTGTGCACCCAGGGACCTCCCCAGGTGAAAGATGGGGAGCACATCCTATCATAGTGACATAGTCACTACTCCTGCCACATCAAGCAGAGCCCCGAAGGACAGAGAGCTTCCCTTTGGACTCACTCCCAAATATTACTTAATGCTCCAAAGTGAGGTCTTGAGCCTGTAGCTGGTCCCTGCTGGGACTCAGGCAGCGGCATCAGCATTGGGTGCAGCCAGGCAGGAGGACTTTCCACGCCAAGCCCTTAGGTAGCTGCAGGGAGACTGCAGAGTCTGGAGTCACAGCGATCTAGTCCTAGCTCTGTCCCCTACCACCAGCAGCACCAGGCCCTGGTGCTATCTACTGCACCCTCCCTGCTTCAGCTTGACCAACACTGCTCCTGAGAAGAGAAAGGCTTGCATCTGACAAACTCAAGTGCTCACTCTCTGAGCTTACAGGAGAGTCTGTGATGGTCACCTAAGAAGGATGAACGGTCTCAGCAAGCACAAAAGCTGTGTGCCCCCACCCAGTGAGCCTGGCCTGCTTCCCCACGTGGCCAAGGAGCCCCATGCTGCCCATTTCTCTGGGGAAGGCTGAGTGGGCACGTGCCAGGCTGCTCAAACAGATACAGTCTTTTTCTCAGGGCAAAGGTAGGCAGAAGGGTCTGATCAGCAGCCCAGCCCTCTGCATAAGTAAGAGCATCAGTGCAGTAGTGAGGGCTCAGGACCTGCTTCTACAGAGATTGCTTGCAAGACCCCTGCGAGGGCACTGCCTGGCTAACCTGACCTGGGGAGGGGCCCGTGGCTCCCAGCTGGCAGACCGGCCATGTCGGGTGTGGGAGCAGCCTCCCCATCTCTCTCACACACCACAGCTCAGCTCTCCTGTGGAGTACCCAGGAAGAGTAAATGTAATTGTGAAAGACTCAGGGCCGACACTTGCCTTTAGCTGCTGTGATCCTAAATGCCAAGCTCCATGAGTTATTAGGGCTGTCTGTCGTCTCCCAGATGCCTTCCTGACTTGGCTGAGTGTTCAGCGCCATTTTCCCTCCTGACTGTCCCAGGGTGGGCACCTGTGCCCACTCCCTCGGTGTTAGTCATGTGCTTCCTGCATGACTGCTGGTGGCTTTTCTTTCATTCCACTATTTTTCAGTTTGACTGCTGTGGACTGTGAGTCATCCGTGGCAGCGGTATTCGTTGAATGGATTAGCTGTGGCCTAAAAATAGCCCAGGCACTCATGCAAGCAGCGGAGAAGCCCATACAGTCAGTCTCTTAGCAGCCAAGCTGAACCTGCTGCCAGCATTTGCCATGTGTGGCTTGGTGGCAGTGAATGCTAATGGATCAAAAATAGACACTGGGTCACGGCCCTGAATGCAGAGCCCTGCGCCGGCCTGAGCCCCGACTCTCAGCGATAAACTGCCTGCCTGTTCTAGAAAGGCTCCCAGGAAAACCGTAGGGAGCCTCGTGTCTGTCTGCGTGTCTGTCTGTCTGTCTGACTGTGTGCCCACAGCCCCTCTCCAAAGAAAGAAAATGCACAGTGGCTCAGGTCTGTGCTCCAACGCTCACGGTGAGCTCGGGAGCTTGAGGCAGGCTGGCAGCAGGGGAAGAACTCCCACTTCAAAAGCAGAAGAAAAAGTCTACTCCATTAGCCTCCCCGAGTGAGGCCTTTGCCTCCAACGTACAGATTATGGAAGCTGATTGCTGCTGGTATTGCTGTTTGTCACTTTAAAAGAAAATTAGTAGACTTTATTATAAAGCAGTTACAGGTTTATAAAGCATTGAACCAAAATAGTCGCCAGCACACTGTTGCCTCTGTTATCCAAACTTTGTGTGCTGTGGCCCATTTCCTACAGCTGATGAGCCAGTATTTTGGGGGATCATTGTCCCATTAGGAGCTGCGCTGCCTTGCCCATGCTGAGGGTTGGGCATGTCTGGTGCCAGCATTACAGTGCCCAGAGCTGTTTTACCCCCCTAAAAGCCC